AAAAAAAAAACAAAAAAAAAAACAAAAAAAAAAACTCCGTTTCAAGAGGGCATGATCTTCATTCACTTTTAGGAGACGGGTGGAAACCTTCTGGTATTTATTTCCCAGCTCCATTTCGAGTGGCTCAAACACACAAAGATACAGTGGTTTCCCTCGTCTTCTTACAGCCCTCGACAGCCAGCGCTTGGCTAGGCACCTACAGAGCACTCGAGAAATGGATACTCGGTGAGACTCTGAAAAGGCCCCCGAGCCCTACTGCCTAGCGCCGGGGCCGGGGGACAAAGGACGCGGCAGCCGCGCCGCGCGGGAGAGAGACGCGCGCCTCACTTGCTCCAGCAGCTGCCGGAGCCGCTGTAACTGCGACTCCAGCTGCTTGTTGTGGTCTTCTAGGATCTGCATCCTGGCCTCCAGGCGGCCCTTGTGCTGACGCAGGAGCTTGGCCTCGGCAATGAGCTCGGCATCCCGGGGACTCTGGGGAGAAGTGGGCATCATCTCGGGAGGGGACGGCAGTGGGGACAGGCCTTTATGCTCGTGCTGCTGCTTGAGACGGTCATACTCGGCTTGCAGGTTCCTGTGGGCGTCAAAAAAAAGTAAAAAAAAAAAAAACAAAAAACAAAAAAAACAACAAGATCAAGTTGAACATCGCCTTCGGGTTTCCTAGAGGGCAGAGAGCTACATCTGACCACCACCAAACACAACGGCAAGCGAAAGAGAGGTACTCAATGAATGGTTTTCATGAGGACGATCAAACAAAATAAAATTGGAGGCTTCCGCCCGGTGTGGGGAGAGGCTTTTCAACCTTTTTATTTTACACGAAAGGCCTTGTAAGTGCCACATTCACATGAATGAGCGGCAATGGGTTTAGTCATTTTGCAACCATTTCTTTCTGATGTCATGAGATCACAAGTTTTTACCTCTATCAACACTTGGGTTGGCTTCAAACAAAATCAAACATGTTCCACAGCAGTGTTTAACAGCATAGTAGGAGCGTGGCTGTGACCCACCACACTCTTGTAATAAATGTGACCTATGCCGTATTCGCTTCAAAAATTTTTGGAAGACATAAAGTCGCAGCTTTCCTATGTCCTCTCCTCAATATCGAATCTCAGTCCCTCGGCCCCACCGTTTCCAAGGAGATAATGCCGTCCTGAATTCCAGGTCTGTCATTACCATGAATGTATCCACAAATACTAGGTTGAACTTGGCAAAGATGCTGGTCTCGGGCTGGTTTTTTTTTTTTTTTAACCTACAAAAATGGCCATTTCCTGGGATTCAATCTCACAGCATTATTTGGCAATGTTCTTAGACTTTAAGAACATTATGTTCAAGAACGTACATACCATTCTAAGAGTCGCTTTTTGCCTTCCACACCGTTTTGGAGATTTCTCCATGTTGATACATAATAGTTGGTGATTTTAAGTGCTGTAAAGTCTTATTCTCCTGCTTGAATACGTCAACAACATCATCCTGTCAGTGGATATTTAAGTACTTTCCAACCTTTACTATTATAAACAGAGATGCAATTAACTTCCTTCTGTCTCCTTGGATACCTGTTTAACTTTGTACATGGCATCCCACAGTACACAAATTTCAGATTGGTTTTTTAATGTTTATTTTTGAGACCGAGAGAGACAGAGCATGAGCAGGGGAGGGGCAGAGAGACAGGGAGACACAGAATCCCAAGCAGGCTCCGGGCCCTGAGCTGCCAGCACAGAGCCTGACGCGGGGCTCGAACTCACGAGCTGTGAGATCATGACCTGAGCCCAAGTCGGACGCTTGACCAACTGAGCCGCCTAGGCCCCCCATGTAGTACGCAAATTTCGAATTTCAATATATCCTCTGTGTGTTCTGCTGCTTTTGAGAAAATCTTCCTTACGCCTACGGTGTCAGGTTAAAAATTGTGGGGTTTTTGTTCTTTGTTTTGTTTTTACACTTAGAACTTCACCCAGACTCTTTTGTGGCTGCTGTAAAGCCACGATCTGATTTTACTCCCCATCCCACAGAGAAGTGAAGCCAGCCCCTTTCCCTAACAAGTCCATCTTTTCCTCACTCCTTTCTAACGGTAGGTCTGCAATACCTCAAGCCCTCATAAGTACACAAGTGTGCTTCTGGGCCTGTTCTGCTGGTTTATTTTTATGTTGCCATGCAGATCGCACACCACCACTTGAAATAAATGGGTGTCTGGTAAGCCCACCTGCTGGGTCCTGCCTTAATGGTGTCTTGGCTCTTCTTGTTGAAATGTGGGGTTTCAATGACATTGGATGGATACAGAGTCAACACGGAAGAAGTCACTTGCTGTTACCGCATTATCACATCCAAGACTTTACTCCAGTCTGACTTTGCATCCATTAATGACACTGTGCCATCCACTGGGTTTTACTCCAGCTCCTCAGGTTGAATGCTGAAACCACACTGGTTTTTTTAATAAATCCATTTAAGACTGTAGATTTCCTTCTTGCTTTAGAATTGCCCAGAGTACAGTTCCAAATGAGGACACTTCTCCTGTTGGCTACCGTGTGCCTGATTGCGACTCTCGATCTCTTTCTTGTAGTTCCGGTAAAAACCAAAATAAGATGAAGTATCACGTGTGAACAATGGGTATCTGGCCTCAGTTGAGAGAACCTCCTCTCCGCCAATGTGGGAGGTCTAGATCTCTGAGAAAATCCATGAGATACAAGCTACGTTTTCCCCCTGCCCAGTCTGAGAAAGTGAGATCATCATGTGACCAGGTTTCTAGCCAAGGAAATATTTCCTGTGGTTCCCTATCTGAACTGAAAGATCCACAGGGGATGGCATGTCCTCCAAGATGCTGGATCTCCACGGTGGAGAAGACCTAAAACCCAATCTATTCCTTTCCTTTGTAAAGCTCTATCCTGGACCTAACTTTACAGGGTTTCTAGAAGTGGTGGAAAGTCACGTGGGAAATCAATACGTGATCTTTTAGCCTGAAATCCTATCTGCCATCACGCTTCAAGGAAAGCTGTGTTTGCACTGTTGCACGGCAAGCTGCTTTGACCAAGCCGTAATAAGACAACTTCTGAAAACAAGTTTACCCTAAGCCACACTCTGCACGTCAGTCCTGAAGGTGGGAACCGGGATATGTAGTTACTGACGTTAATTAAATCCAATGCCTGACTCTTGAAAAATGTTTCTGCGAACTTGAAGCAGCATCCAGTGTTTACAAGGTTTCATCGACTAGGAATCACCTTTCTTCCTCCTTGCAGTCCACCTCTTAACGTAGAATCCCCTTCAAAGATTCTTCTTTCTGAAAACACTATTTTTGGATGTGGACTTGAGGACAGGACTGCAAACGATTACCATCTTCTGACGTGCTCTTCTCAGAGATACAGGTAAGTGACTACATTTTCTAGAGAGGTCTTCCCTGGTATCTTGATCTTCTGGATCTAGCTGTCCAAAGAGCTCTTTTTTTTTTTTTTTTTTTTTTTTTAATGAGTTCTTTATAAGTGTCTTTGTTCAGAAAACATGGCTTGGTGTATACAACATGATTACATTTCTGTTTTTATGTTTGCCAGTGAAAACCAGAAACGGTTTATTTGAATCTGCCAGGGCTCCCCAAAGCTGGGCTGTAAAGAATATCAATGACTCTACAGAGGCCCCTTCTTGCCTTCCCAGATGTTGGAAATTCCTCTCAGGGGACCATTTCCTTAAAGACTCCTATCCTTCTTGAGCTCTGGAAGATTCTCAGCTATCGTGACTTCAAATACTGCTTCTCTGCCATTTCCTCCATGTTCTTCGAAAGCGCCTACTAGATATATTTTGGAGCCTGGTGGTGAATTGTCTCTCTTAATTGCTCATTTCTTTTAATGTCCTTATCTTCTCTGATGGGGTAAAGTCTAGAATTTGTCTTATTTTTTTAAGTTGACTGATTTATTTTGAGAGAGAGAAGGAGCGAATCCCAAGCAGGCCCTGCACTGTCAATGGGGAGCTAGACATGGGGCTCTGTCTCATGAACCATGAGCTCACGACCTGAGCCTAAATTAAGAGTCAGGTTTCACAGCTTAACCAACTGAGCCACTCAGGTGCCCCTAGAATTGGGCCTCTTGAGTTTAGTAACTTCAGTGCCCATAGTTGGCATTTGCAAAGAGGCCTTTTGCAAATCCATCTGGTTCTTTCATTTTTACACCTCTCTACAGCCAGCAGTGGGGCTCAAGGTCCTACCCCTGAGATCAAGAGTCCCCTGCTCTACTGAGGGAGCCAGCAGGTGCCGGAGTCGTTGTTTTACCCAGGGGTATTTCCTTATCTATTTCTTCTCCTTCTGAACTCGGCGCTGTCAGGTAATTTTATGACTGGGCCCACTCAGGGCCTCCCGTCTAGAGCTAGACCTTCCATTGGTAGTTGACACGAATGCACTTATCGATCATTTCGTCACCAGGCAAACAGGGTTCAGGTCCTGGTTTCAAGGCTGCGTCGCGATGATCTCCTTGGCGACTGCGAGCCCCGCCTCTTCCCCTTGGAGCATAACGCTGCATCCCTGGCTGCAGGTAAGTGAGGCAGTCCAAACTGTTCTTTGTTCACTCCAGGTACACGTCTCTATGTGTGTTTGTGGAGCCCTGGTTTTAAATGCCTGGCTCGGGGCCCCTCCCTTTTAAGGGGAGTTTTAATTCCTGTTACTATAGCAGGAACTGAAGGTGCACTGAGTCATCTGTACACGCTGCTCAGCACGTGCGGGTTTTCTTCCTTTCATTCCATCCGTCAGCCACCACTGGATCAACGCTAGAAGCAGGGGAAGGTGGCTGAAACCAAGGGCTAATGTCATGTGCATCAGCAGCCTCCCAGGACATGTTGATTTTATAGATGTAGGATCAGTGTTCCCTCAGTATTCATTCCAACAGAAATTTACCAGGACAGGATTAAATGAGCCCAACAAGTGCCTTTCTCCTAAACACACAGGTGACACGCATAAATCTTCCATTAAGCTCAATCACAAACTTGATTTCCAGGGACTAGTTTTTCCTCCTAAGACTCTGAAGCAGGATAAGCTGTCAGGCCACAGGTTCAAAAAGAGCTCAAAAGAGGGACCTTGGCCAGAAACCACGTAAAATACCAAGTATTTGAAAAAGTGATGTGTGACGTGCTGAATGAAGAGATAACTTTTCCTAACACATGTAGTCCGGGTTGCGGCGTCGGTAGGGTCTATTTTTTGCGACAGGAAAGAGCAAAATAGGGAAATACTTATTTTCTGATCTTGAAGAATATCTGTGCCAGTGCCTTTTAAAGTTCATCATAAGGCTAGGTTTTTTGGACACATTGTAGGGGAGATCGTTCCCATCCAAGACCCATAGAATACTTACCTCAGTTCCAAGGGGAGTTGTTTTAAAGCTCAACCACAAATACTGGCTGTCAATTTATAGACTGCTAGCAATGTATATCGTGTTCTTGAAGTTGTACATCTCACCCCTCTCAATTCTCTCATTAGAATGTATTTATGATGTCATTTCAATAGAAACGAATGTATGTCAGCAATCGGATGACGACTCCAGGGAGAATCTATTTACTCTCTTGATTATCTGGTAAGTTATATTTCTCTGGTAGCTCCCTAAAGAACACTAA